GATGCTTCATCTGATACACGTGCATTTTGGCGAAAATTATTACCACCCCAAGCAAGTATTAAATGTCAACCCTGCAAATACATGTAGTCTAGATGACAAACGTCGGCAAGCGAGACAATCGTGGCTCTCGATCGGGTACTGGCGAACCCGAATCTGAGGTCTTTGGTGGAGGATGCTACTAATGTCCTTTCCAGCGGTGGTTAAAGTCACTGAAATTGAACGAAGGAATTCACATTAGCAAAACTATGGCAAAGGGTTTGCTAAAAAGTGTATGATCATTACAAAAGTCAAATTTGGTACACGTGTCCTTGTATTAAACACATTACAATTTAAACTGTAAATCACACGAATAAAATTTAATACCCTGAACACACCTTCACAACGAGTGTCTTTTAAATTCACATTTATCATATCTAAAATTCGTAATTGTGAAAGCTTTTTTCCCCCCAGAGGTTTCGTTCGTTCTTTTTGATCACTGACGTGTGGTGTTGAAAATACTCGTGCCAATACCAAAATTTCCTTTCATTTCGTTGACAAGTTTAGGTCAACCCTTTTCAATCGTGTATTTTGATATAATAATTTAAACAAGTTTCTAGATTGTAATTCATTATAGCAAGGGGCAGAATGTAAAAGATATCAAGAAAATCGCTGTAGTCAGCAATAAAATAACAGGCCCATAAGGAGCCAGGAATGTTATTACCTGTCTAGCCATATTACATCGATGAAGACAAAGCAAGTTCAGACATCTTGAAAACTGGAATGCGCCCTTTAATGGGTCAGTGGTTAGTGGCAAAAGCGTCCTCTCTGTCAAATAATAGAAAACAACATATTTTAGCCGACTGTACTCGAGTTTAAAGGAAAGGGCCATTGAAATATAATGTAATAAAATATTCATGTGGTTATCATGACTAAAACGTGGAACGCACTATTTACGGCAAATTAAACCTTTATTTTTTACGTACACATATATGAAGGCACCGATCTACTCACAGTACGTACAACGAATTGTTGCCAGTTTAGGTGTAAAACGTCAAGCTTACCTGTAAAATCCGTAGCATTTCGACATGAGGCTTCTTTCTTCGCCATCTCTTCTTTCTTCTCCTGACCTTGGACGTGTCTGAGCACCTCTCACCAAATTGCTCACCTGATTTTCATAACAATGTATATAGGCCATCCACTTTCCGTACGGAAGCCTCGATTTAAAATTTAGCCCTCCTTTTTTGTCTCTTTCTTTTTTTTTATTTGATAAGGCACAATGGATCCTCATATTGTAACGGGGAGCGTGGTCTGTAAAGACCATTATGGCAAAACCAATCACATTTTATCAGCCGTCATTATATCAAACAGATTCCACAGATCACTGAATGAATCCAACTTAAATCACTACTGCGGGATTGTGTTAGAGAAGTCAAAATGTGCTTTTCTCCAAATCGACGGATCAACAGACGGATTTTTTAAATTAAAAAGAAAACAACTTTAGCGGTAAAATTTGAACAAAAAATCAAAATGCTTTAAAAGTGTTTCATTTAAGAAACTTATAAGTTGTCTTATCTTTAATCAAGCGGAACCCACAACGATGAAAAGCACAGTGGCGTAATGACGTAATGTGGGTGACAATGTTGCGAGGAAGTTTTCTGTGACGTCAATTAACATCTACTCGGAAATAAAACGTAACGTATGGCGTTATCATTATGGCGTCACATAACAAAACAATTGTTTCTAATGGTAATCGTAAAGATTTTTTCCGACATGCTAAAAAGACAGTTAAAGCTGGCCCCGTATCTCGAAAGCATCGCGTATTGCGAATCGCCATATCAAAAAGAGGCTACAGTGTATTATATGGGACGAGTATGGGCGAGTAATGGAATCGAGACGCTTGCGCACGTGCGCAACATAGCGAAGCTTTCGAGATACGGGGCCCTGGTTTCTATATATTTTACACTGTTGCCACGTAAATAACGAAGGCAGGTCTTTGGCCCAGATGAGAGAGGTAAGTGGCATTTTTTGCACTGGATTTTATTACTATTATTATAAAAATGTAGATATAACGTTTTTATTTATAGCAACACTTTCGAGGCGAATATTTTTTTTTGCCACCTATAAGTTACTCGATTTCGGCCACATTGATTTAAAACCAAATCAACAGGACACTGCCGCATGTCTTTGATAAACTTGCCTAAAAATATGATAGAAAAAAATGCTCATTGTCATGTACATGTAGTACGAATCCAATTGTAAGTGTGTGTGTGCGTATTTGTACTGGTCTTCCCGTTCAGAAAATAAAATGTAGGAGATGGGTGTGTGTGTGTGTGTGTGTGTAAAGTATAGGTTATGCATTTGAAGGTAGGCATCGGTTGACTGGTGCTGTGAACGTGGCGCAAATTCATTTACATTACACGCTTGTCTGGATTTCAGTTGTCGGTGACGCTCAATATTTAAAGACAAGGTTGAATCCAAATGGCCAAATCATTTTACTTCAAAGAATTATATTCCATCCAATGTGCATCTTTTTTTTTCATCGGATATATCTTTTATTGTAACCATGTGAAGATGGCCAAGTCTTCAAAGACGCAGTATTTAGTCAACTTTGAGGCTAGCTAACGTGCAGCACTCGCTCATATCGAAATTAAATAGTCTCTCCTGCTTCACAAAATAAATCGTTTTTATGGACAATACTTACGAGTCTTGCCACAAGAAGATAGTTGAAAGGTTTTAATGATAATCAATAAACCTTTGGTCAAAAAGAATTGATACACCGTCATGTAACAAAATTCAAGAAACAGTGCATATTTAATAAATAAATAAATAAATAAATAAATAAATTAATAAATAAATAAATAAATAAAACGGTTAGTCGTTTCAAAATGTCAAGCAACAGTGTTTATCAAATATAAATAAATAAATAAATACATAAAATGGTTAAACGCTCAGTCATCGTTTAAGTTTTCAATTATTATTTTCATTTGGTGGGGAAGGGAATCCTAGAGCCCCTGCTGCCCTCTAGCATTTAGTTCTGGCGTGGTTATAAATATTCACAATCCTCGGCCAAGCCGGCACGCTCATCAGCTGGTTCTGCGTGAAATACATGGCAAGTGGACCCTGAAATAAATAAATAAATAAATAAATAATAATAATAATTATTTGAAGATGTACATTAGGCATATGTCAAATCATTGCCGCTGAACCTGGCCAAATGCCACCAAATAGTTTCAAATGATGTTATTTCAAGAAATATTACAGTTGTATTGCATTTGTTTTAATGTTTGGACGGAAAATTTCAGCTTACTTCCTGTGGTTTACGAAATGGAGTGAAAGTAAGTACTTCTGTTCGAGAACAATTAGCTAAATATTCGCTCGGATACATGTATTTGAAGAAGGTGTAGTTTTAAACATTTTTTGCTGCTGGAGAGTTTCAGTTGGTTCATTTGTCATGTGGATTTGAGTAGCGTCGTGTTAAAAACTAGTGCTAATTATTAATGTCCGTTACAGAGCATTTACGCCTGCTTTTCAAGAATCATAACTCTTAAAACCCACACCTCTAATTCAGCGTAAAACAATCTTAAAGTATTATAATTTCAATCAGCCATCAGTAAAATATGGTATCGAATAAGGCTTTACAAGTNATGCTTTAAAAGTGTTTCATTTAAGAAACTTATAAGTTGTCTTATCTTTAATCAAGCGGAACCCACAACGATGAAAAGCACAGTGGCGTAATGACGTAATGTGGGTGACAATGTTGCGAGGAAGTTTTCTGTGACGTCAATTAACATCTACTCGGAAATAAAACGTAACGTATGGCGTTATCATTATGGCGTCACATAACAAAACAATTGTTTCTAATGGTAATCGTAAAGATTTTTTCCGACATGCTAAAAAGACAGTTAAAGCTGGCCCCGTATCTCGAAAGCATCGCGTATTGCGAATCGCCATATCAAAAAGAGGCTACAGTGTATTATATGGGACGAGTATGGGCGAGTAATGGAATCGAGACGCTTGCGCACGTGCGCAACATAGCGAAGCTTTCGAGATACGGGGCCCTGGTTTCTATATATTTTACACTGTTGCCACGTAAATAACGAAGGCAGGTCTTTGGCCCAGATGAGAGAGGTAAGTGGCATTTTTTGCACTGGATTTTATTACTATTATTATAAAAATGTAGATATAACGTTTTTATTTATAGCAACACTTTCGAGGCGAATATTTTTTTTTGCCACCTATAAGTTACTCGATTTCGGCCACATTGATTTAAAACCAAATCAACAGGACACTGCCGCATGTCTTTGATAAACTTGCCTAAAAATATGATAGAAAAAAATGCTCATTGTCATGTACATGTAGTACGAATCCAATTGTAAGTGTGTGTGTGCGTATTTGTACTGGTCTTCCCGTTCAGAAAATAAAATGTAGGAGATGGGTGTGTGTGTGTGTGTGTGTGTAAAGTATAGGTTATGCATTTGAAGGTAGGCATCGGTTGACTGGTGCTGTGAACGTGGCGCAAATTCATTTACATTACACGCTTGTCTGGATTTCAGTTGTCGGTGACGCTCAATATTTAAAGACAAGGTTGAATCCAAATGGCCAAATCATTTTACTTCAAAGAATTATATTCCATCCAATGTGCATCTTTTTTTTTCATCGGATATATCTTTTATTGTAACCATGTGAAGATGGCCAAGTCTTCAAAGACGCAGTATTTAGTCAACTTTGAGGCTAGCTAACGTGCAGCACTCGCTCATATCGAAATTAAATAGTCTCTCCTGCTTCACAAAATAAATCGTTTTTATGGACAATACTTACGAGTCTTGCCACAAGAAGATAGTTGAAAGGTTTTAATGATAATCAATAAACCTTTGGTCAAAAAGAATTGATACACCGTCATGTAACAAAATTCAAGAAACAGTGCATATTTAATAAATAAATAAATAAATAAATAAATAAATTAATAAATTAATAAATTAATAAATAAATAAATAAATAAATAAATAAATAAATAAAATGGTTAGTCGTTTCAAAATGTCAAGCAACAGTGTTTATCAAATATAAATAAATAAATACATAAAATGGTTAAACGCTCAGTCATCGTTTAAGTTTTCAATTATTATTTTCATTTGGTGGGGAAGGGAATCCTAGAGCCCCTGCTGCCCTCTAGCATTTAGTTCTGGCGTGGTTATAAATATTCACAATCCTCGGCCAAGCCGGCACGCTCATCAGCTGGTTCTGCGTGAAATACATGGCAAGTGGACCCTGAAATAAATAAATAAATAAATAAATAAATAAATAAATAATAATAATTATTTGAAGATGTACATTAGGCATATGTCAAATCATTGCCGCTGAACCTGGCCAAATGCCACCAAATAGTTTCAAATGATGTTATTTCAAGAAATATTACAGTTGTATTGCATTTGTTTTAATGTTTGGACGGAAAATTTCAGCTTACTTCCTGTGGTTTACGAAATGGAGTGAAAGTAAGTACTTCTGTTCGAGAACAATTAGCTAAATATTCGCTCGGATACATGTATTTGAAGAAGGTGTAGTTTTAAACATTTTTTGCTGCTGGAGAGTTTCAGTTGGTTCATTTGTCATGTGGATTTGAGTAGCGTCGTGTTAAAGACTAGTGCTAATTATTAATGTCCGTTACAGAGCATTTACGCCTGCTTTTCAAGAATCATAACTCTTAAAACCCACACCTCTAATTCAGCGTAAAACAATCTTAAAGTATTATAATTTCAATCAGCCATCAGTAAAATATGGTATCGAATAAGGCTTTACAAGTCTAAAACACTACAAATGATATAAATAATATGCCCACAAGCCAGCAAAAGCAGAACATTAAAAAACCCTACCATAATATTACCAGAACTTTCTTTTGGTCATATAAACTTAATGGTAGCGTTATGATAATATTTTGTGCTTGCTGGGTAGCATGCGTATGTTACAGGGGTGGATCCAGGAATATTTGAAAGGGGGTCCGAGGATGCGAAGCCCCCCCCCCCCAAACTGGGCTTGGGGTTCGGGCCTCGCTGAAGGGCCCCAAAAATTTTTGGTATTTTAGAGGGTGAATGATGCCATTTGGTACGGTTTAGAACTATGATTCAGCTAGTCAAAATTCTAATTACAAGAGTGGACCAAATCGAAGGGAGGGGGGGGGGGGAGGGGGTCAGGACCCCCATGACCACCCCCCCTCTAAATCCGCCACTGTGTTACTCGGACATACCTTCATGCATACGTGATTGAAGAGTTCCTGTAGCGGCAGATAACACTGGGCGTGGCATACTTCTGACAGGTGACAGTTTGCGAGAATCTCATTGGATAATGTTGAACTGACTAGGTTTAAAAACGAGGCCACATTGCATTCGCCTATTCGTCCCGCTGGAAAAATGTACGATTTTCTATTAGAGACATATTGTGTGAGTTAGACCTTTATATGGAAAAGAATAAAATCATGGAAACTTCAACAATTTAACACAAACACCAACGTATACGCTGTTAAAAAAGTTTTGGGGCAACTGCGATCTACAGGTATAAACCGGTTTTCGAGTATATCAATATTGCCGTGAAAATACACCCACTTCCAGGCTCGTAGATAATTATGTGGACTTTTCATGTACCATCATTTATCTAGAGACATATTTGTGAATATCTAGAGAAAAATCAATTTGTGATACTCGTTGGGGATTCGTGCAAATACATGTACTCACTCTTCCTCGCACATTCTCCAGTTTCTAAACTTTGAAACTGTGCGCATTGGTCAAAACGAGGCACGGCGGGAAAGTAGCTGACGAAAGCGTAGCACATCTCTGCCTAAAATGTCAAGGAAGGAAGGCATGTTACCTATAAACAGAGCACATATAACATGTATATCGAGACTGCGTGCGATTGATATAAAAACATCATTTTCCTTATAAACCGGCAGGTCGAACACAAGACGTAAATACGAATGTATGTTCAGAATATTCATGTAACCTGTGTGCCGCCATTATACTTTTGTGACGCAATCGATACATTTCGTATGTTTAAAAAATTATAATTGAGTAATCCCGGATATGAAAAGATACAGAAAAGAAACATGATAATCAAACGGCCGCATTTGACTAATCACAGAACTTAAGAGAAATAGAACTTTAAAAAGTTAAAATGAAATAAATAAATAAATAAATAAATAAATAAATAAATGAAATGAAACGAAATCAATCACTACACCTCGTCGTCTCAAATAAACGCACAAACGTCTTCCGAAATTTTAAAATGCATTTCTTCTAACACAAACACCAGCCTCTCTATACATGTCCATTTCCTTTAACAAAAAAAAAAAAAAAAAAAAAAAAAAAAAAAAAAAAAAAAAAAAAAAAAAAAAAAAAAAAAAAAAAAAAAAAAAAAAAAAAAAACCAGTGTATTTAAGAATCAATAATAATCAACTTACATCTGTACCAAGCCCAAACAAAGTAGTGTTATACCGCCTCCGGTCTCCGTCCAGCGTGTTGTACCAGCACCGCACAAGGACCTCGTCTCCGGGGAGAATCTCCACCGCGGGGTCGTGGACGTGGATGGGCGGGGTCACGTACTGGTATTCGGGGTCTAAAGCGATCACGCGGATAAGTTTGCCGTTGCGGTACTGCTCCATGGCGCCTGCCGTGGCTGGAAAACATGAAAATGATATGGTGTATGTATATACCTACCTGTCTATCTATACAATTAATTCCCACTGTCAGTGAGGGAGCCAGAACCCCTTAGGGGTGGGGTATGTGGGGGGGGGGGGGCACAAGTACTGTTTTAATGTGTTAGAATTGTCTATTCTCGATATATAACTAACTATAGAGGAGGGCAGTTTCACTATAATGAGTAGAACACAGAAATGGATACTAACTTGGATTTATTTCGTTTCGCTCGTTACACTTTTACTTGGGAGCGGGGAGTGTGTGTGTGTGTGTGTGTGTGGGGGGGGGGGGGGGCGGTAGGGAGAAAGAACAAAAATATGTATCCCAGAAACTGATAGCGCCCTTTCCCTCCAGACTTAGGCTTAGGCAAGCTTAGGTAATGCTATCTCAAAACATATCTAGATACGGAAGTGGAGCGATTTCCTTGAGTAACCCTCAAAATGTAGCTAGATTTGTTTACTGTAGAGTTACGTGGGAAATCTGGCTTAAATGGAAGGTCGCATGCACATTAACATCCTTGTCACTAACGTTTGTAGCTGCAAGTATAAACTCCATCAAATCTGAATATTGAAAATGCTTCCTAATACGTGAGCGTTATTGTAAAATTAAGTAGAAGTCACAGACAGTGTTTTGACTTCAACAGAAAAGAGAATGACAAATGACGCTGAACAGAGAGAGACAGTCTATAAACAAACGGAAATGGTGCTCTGTTCTCAACAGGTGCTTCGACTTGAAGAGATCTGGAATGGCACATGTCGTTGAAAATCGGGTAAAAAAAACACAGCACAGACTTTGTCTATTCCCTAGGGTTTTGAAACCCTTCAGCTCTGGAAGATAGCAAAAATTTAATAAAAGAGCCACCTACAGTACTACCGATTGCGGTCAAATGGAAAGATTAGACATAATTGAACGTAAAAAGACAACAGCCATACATGTATGAGCTAAAGTAATTAGAGTTTGGGAGAGAGTTAGGCCCTTAGGAATAGGATATATATCTTACAGAGGACATTTGGTTATATGCAGTAACCGAATTGCATAGCGGTAATTCGATCTGATAGGCAAAATACCAGAAAGTTAACCGAATCTTACCACTCATATCTATCTTTTACGAAACAATTGTATCCCATGAGTAATTCTCCAGGGATACCGTAATTTGATAGATCTTGCATGAAGCTATTCATTGCATACGAATATGTTCGTGTTTTTAAGTCTTTGTTGGGTGTAATGTTTGAAGAAATGCCGTCTTGTTCGTGTTTATTGGAGGCAAAACAAATCTGTAGAACCTCAATTGAAAGCATTTGAACATTTACTCTCGTTACTTGGTTAGGAAGTGACACAGAGAAGGACCATGGGGAACTAGACCGTCTTCTTTCCACCGATAGTGAGATATTACTGGCTGCTGAGGTGTTACAGCCATTGAAAGTGTCTACTTTGACAGAATGGAACACATACTGAATGACTGCTTCTTACCAGTCTGTTTTTAGCATCTTGATATCTACCTCGCAAAGAGAGAGACGTTCATTTTGCTAAACAAGTAAATAAACAAATACTCAAGAAAATAAAGAAACACCCTTTTGCTTATATATAATTAATAGACACTTAGCTTTCCACTTCAACGTTAACACCTTTGAATTTTATTAATTTACCAGTGCTTACCCAAATGATGCATATGCAAGTATGTTCGGGTTAAATAAATTGGGTGTGGGAGTCTTTTCTTCGTGCAATAAGGTGTACAGCCGCCGTGCTGCTCGTAGTCACGTGACAGTGGAGGGATCGCCAAGTAGTTCTGACCAAACTGGACGTTCCCAAGGTCGTATTTACGCAGTCGAGGAGTGTAGTAAATACGCATTCCGGAACTATCTAAGAGTGAAATAGCAAGAATTAAAAAAACCTTTTCAAACAAATATACATCAGCTGGCTTTCCGCTATTAAAGCTATTGCAAATCGTTTATATAAACCAATGTAAGATAATTAAAGGTTTAATGCTTTAGTCTAATAGTTTCTTTATTTTTCATTGGATGAAATTTTTAGTCCTAAAATTCAGACCAACATCTGATATAGTTCTTTTAGAAAACCGTGTACACCGTGTACTTTAAGACTGTGTTCAGCTTCTTTTTTATTTTTGAATTACATTATCATAGCCCTGACTGTCAGTCTTGGTTATACATAATGTATCACCGTTAAAGGGATAATAACTCTTCGTATGAGATCTATATTTCACAACAAAAACATTGTGAATGACCCATAGAAATATAATATATTCTGTTTTATCACAAAAACGGCAGTTATAGCTATAATTCTGATATCTGAGCTTGTCTTTAGACCACGTGACCTCCATTGATGGCTATACTTTGTTAAAATCTCTTAAGAGATTTTAACAAAAAACCAAACTTTTTAGAGAAAAACCAGGGACCAACTTTGAATGTAAAAATGGATTCATTAACCACTGGTAAGTATGGGAAAATTGTTGTTTACTCCAGGAAAATTCATTTTTTGGCCGAAACGAAGAGTTATTATCCCTTTAACTCTATCAGTTTAATTTTAAGACTTTTTTAAACTTTGAACTTAAACACAATCCCGTGCCGAACCCATACAAATTTCGCACCCATGTCCGTATCCATCCGTACTACTCGCAGTACCCTACCTACGTAGTCGCCTCTGAGGTCCGGGTTGTTCCAGTGGATCTGAAGCGACATGTGCCTCATACTGCCCCGGCCAAACTTGGCCCCCGTGTTGTGGTGGGTACAGATCTGTCCCTCCAACCCCACCGTCCACACCGTTAGCCAGGTCTCGCATTTTAAGTCCTCTGCCCCGCATAGGTGTGGGTCCTGGAGACGAGAATGATAGTTATAAAAGGCAAATGTTTATATTACAGCTGGAACAAAATGTAGGTTCTATGAAACATTCGTCCTACCAGCAAACACAGAACGTTTTATAACGTTACCATGACGTTACCATGGTGATATAAACGTTATGGTAACGTTATATTTACGCTCTGTGCTTGCTGGGCTAATGCCGCTGTGCCCCCCCCCCATCTATCAGTCACTAACAAGTATGAACAGTAACTATGCATATAAGTTAATAAATAATGATGACAATAATAAAATAACCAATATATAATGACTATATAAAATAAAATGGGAAATAGGCCATGCACTTTATTTGATGGAATTCGTTATTCTGTCAGTTATTTTTTTCACAGACGTTTACAACTTAATAAAGTAATTGCAATCTGAAGTGACACATTTTGGGACAAGGCATATCCGATATGTTAATTATAAAAGAGGTCTGTAATTCTTACTCCTGCTGTTACGTCATCTCCGCATGCAAATAAGATCATATGATGCATGACGTCTTTGTTGGCTATGATTGGCTCAAAGGCGACCGCGTGGTACACTTCATCGCTTGGGACCTGTTATAAGAGGATGAATGTTAGTTGCATTTAAATAACACGCGATAAAACACGGGTTTGCACATAGCAAGTATACAACTTATACATGTATTATAGAAAATAAACTCTCTCTCTCCCAAACACACACACACATACACACGCACAGACACACACAATAATAATAATAATAATAATAATAATAATAATAATAATAATAATAATAATAACAATGATGGTACCTATTTTTATCTCACCCCAAAATAAAAAAAGGTGATAAATTGACGCTAAACGCTCCGAGATGCCTGTCCTTATGCTTAGCAAAGAAAAATATAAACGCCAATATTTCGAATTTCTGAGGTTATTTTTAATCAGCATTAATGTAGATGCATTATCGAAGAATTAGATGTACGAAAAACCTCATTTCCGGTATTAGGACGCTTATAAACCCTTTCAATGCCCTTAACGCATTTTTACAGGTTACAATAAAAATTTATCTAGACTGATCGTAAATTTCTGACATGAACACCGTGAACAACTACATGTGGATCGTTTAAGCTGGAGCTACTTTACAAAATTATCATGGGTAAAAACAAGGCATTTAAATGATAATGATAGCCTTGAGCAATGATAAACTTGAACATTGCTGCTAAATATCATCTGATACTAATTTCTGCGAGACTTGTTTAAAATAAAAGATTTGAATAAATTATAAAGAGACGAGCTATGCGTTGTTGACTGAATACATAATCATACAGTAGATATTATATGCATTATAAGAATTACTGGTGGTATTTTGGCAAGTAAAACCAGCACAATTAGATCTTCATTACGCGCTAGTGTAAAGTGCGCTCTTGAGGGTTTAACTCTCAAGATATATTTTACTTTTAACATAGAAATATGAATTGTTATTCCAATTTGCGACCCAAGTGGAAATTCTACGTTTCTTGGCGACGCCGAAGAGCAACTGAAAACGCAACGTTTTATAAACAAAGTCACATCTGTTATTATTATTATTATTATTATTATTATTATTATTATTATTATTATATCGTTATAATTTTAAATACAAATACTATTGCACTATTTTGATTAGTTCAAATTCCTTTCAGCACAGCTCCTCAATCTTGCTTGGAATAGCGATTAATTTCAAGTGGCAGTATTGGCGTGTCAATCCAGTATTGACTAAACAGAGAAGATCAAGCTGAATGAGAGCCGGATTTGCTTTTCTACTATCAAAGTAAGCCAATTAATGCTCCACAAAGATACCTTAAACGCATTAGCCAAGACACGTACGGCAACGATGAAATCCTGCCGCTTTTTTTGTTAAATTGCATTTCGTGAACTGGGAACTCCATTAAGAAGTAGGTCAACGTGTCAGTCAGATTTTGTTTTACAGTAAATGAACTCCATTTGCGCACTGACCCTCGAGTTCTTGAAGTACGGAGAAGAGGGTCGTGTTACCAGCTGAAGAAAGGCATTAACAAATGGCTCTAGAGATACACCTCGCTTGAATAGCGGATTTGCTTTTTATCTGGTGTTGTCATGTGAGTTTCTTTTGTGCCCTTTGCATCTGTATGGCATAGATAAAGACACCTCGGTATCAGTAATGTGATAAGTGTTCACTGAACATGCTTTTTTATATAAAGAATCAAAGCCGGTATCACAAAAGACGGAGTTATGAAGAAAATGATATTTTTCCAATTTATATATATGCCGCTACATGCTTGTGATTACACGTAACTAACACGCCCCGTTTAGGTTTATGTCACTTGTTCACACCCACATACAGATTAGATATTAATGGATGTTATTAAAATGGCAAATAAGGTCCATGGTAATCTAAATCCGGTCAATGTAATAGTGAGACATTTGAAGCAAAGAGTTCAAGGCTAAGCGTCTTTTTGCGTGCTACGCTCAACTGTTCATCTCAGCGTGTGGGCTGATGGATTGGATGGTTATTAGTGTTGGTTTTTTACTAGCTATTGCTTGGATCTTACCAGTAAAGAGAGAGAGAGAGAGAGAGAGAGAGAGAGAGAGAAGAAGAAGAAGAAGAAGAAGAAGAAGAAGAAGAAGAATTAAGAAAGATAATGATTATATATGCCCCATATACCCCCCCTGTATATTTGTGTGTGTGTGTGTGTGTGTGTGTGTGTGTGTGAAGCAAAATAAAGGAACGTAAGAATAATGAGAGGGGAATGTTTTTGTTGTATCTCGAAGGAAGTATTTAAAGATATGTTAAACCATTTACCAATCTAATATCAATTCTAACAGTCATTCTCAATGCCTGCTCCAATATAGCTGATCCAATATAACCCCACTTTCCCTTCCTACCAAGTTGCAACAACCATCTAGAATATGTTAAATTTAGAACGCAACTGTTCTGGAAACTTGAGCATTATTTCACTTGGACTCTGACTTGGACCTGATGGGAAGGCTTTGAAAAGAAAAGCACTGTTATCCTCTGGGCAATTATCATGCGGGTAAAGTAATGTTCACTATTTTTGTCTCCTGATATTGCTTTCTCGGTGGTTAAAAAGGTTGCTATCCTCAAGATAACTTTCGAGAGGGTAACAATTTCATCAAGAAGATTGCCATATTCATAGGATAGCGTTATCTGGGGACAGTGTTGATGAAACTGGGCCCAGATAATATTATCCAAAGCAGATTGTTTGAGAAAAAAAGAACTTACAGGTATATGAGACAGAAAATGACAACTATAGGGGTTATTGAAATGTCTACATGAATGATGAGTTACATCCATGTATTTCCTGAACAATAAAAAACTAATCATGGATATATAATGCTTGTTCAAATGTCTTATGGTGTATTTCCATGCTATATAGAATGAAAATGACATGGTCCCTAAACACCCATTTGAGCGCTTAGTTCATAACATATTGGACTTTTACGAGCAATAGAATCTGATAATGCAATATATATCTAATGTGAGCGGTATGTTTAGAAACTTTATCAGTTGCAAATGACTTGGAAGTCCTTTGAACGGTTTTCCATCGATGATGTGCTATAAAGTATAGACTGCATGCATTGGTAATTGGTTAGAGGTTCGTTAATCGCTGTAATATAATGGGCCATTACGTTGTGTTACATGTACATGAGCACTGGGGAGATAACTCAGGAATTCGGAAATAGACTTGCAATGATATGGGCCTATATAAACTGACCATTTGGTTAACCCGAGATGTCTATCACTGTCTTAATTAGACGTGGTTTGGCAATATTCCATTTCTTAAGATAATTTAAAATTAAGATTCTTTCTGTACGTGCAAATTGCATTGTAAAAGCACTGTGATAACAGATATGTAGGATGCCAAAGCAAATGCGCATATCTGGAAAACTGGAGAGAGAGAGAGAGAGAGAGAGAGAGAGAGAGAGAGAGAGAGAGAGCGAGCGAGAGAGAGAGAGAGAGAGAGAGAGAGAGAAACGGAGGGGAAACAAACTGAAAATACATGTAGCACTATCCTATATCGTACAAAATCGTATTGAATTAATCGTCAAAATATTATACGCCTGCATTGCATGTACAGTATAATAATGCATAATCAAACCTTTTTCATGGCGTATTTACCGTGATTAAGTGCTATACACAGATATGGTGTATATACATGTACATGTAGTATGCGAATAAAGCACAACCTGAACGGAAGTGAATGTAGTATTTTGTGGGAATGCAGACCAATCCATATCTATATTACCCAGTACTTCAAATCCAAACATGAACGCAAGGCCAATGTTTACCGCCGCTCCAGACGTTGCTTTGCAATTATTAAACAATCTAATAATTCTTTAACGATTTCCAGTGAATGTTTCCAAGACGCAGACGTTACAACATTGTACCAATTACGCTGTCACGCAAACGATATCTATCCGTATATATGGTTATTCCAAAACCCCGGCTAGTTTCGCTGCATGCATGCAATGTCTTAATGCATTACCATCAGATTAATTTAATTTTGTTGATTAAATATTAATAATAAACGATATGTGTCGCTGCAGTGCAGTGCCAATTGACATACATACCGGAAGTTCTTGGACCGGTTTCACCAACTTTAGCCAGACTAATGATGCAATATTTTAGAGCATAAAGTTGGCATTTCGTTCAGTGTGGGTTCTTACATGTCTACTATAATAAAGTAAGGGACCATTCCCAGACCCTATCGAACTAACTGTGGATCGACTTATCTCCGAGGGGATTCTCGCTAAATTCCAATCAACTTAGGCGGCTTAGATGTCTGTCACGCCTAAGGAAGCTGCTAGGGGGTAATTAATTATCTTTTAGCAGCTTCAGTAGGCGTGCCCGACATCTAAGCCGCTTATGCTGAAAGCAATTTTGCGAGAAACACCTCGGAGATGAATCGATCCAGTTAGATCGATCTAGGTATGGGAAACCACCTTAAGATATGGTCTAAAACATAAGCCCTGCAGTAAAACAGACACGATATTTCAGATAATTGCACTACCACTAGTTTATCTTTGGTAAAAATTGACGATTTTTTTTGTCCAAAAGTTTAGACTGAGGTAAATTTAGCCGAGCGAATGTTATCTTTGGGAACAGATATCATCCGATTATTTTCCAGACACTTAAACTATTATATTGAACAGACCTCAGGATGGGCTTACAAACGATCTTCATTCACTTATTTATAAAAGTCTACAAAAAATTAATGTCTGTGTATTAGTTGTTTTATTTCAATCAATAGGAAGTTATTTATACACGTAGAACCGTGCGGGGTCATGGTTTAAAGATGCATTTTAAGTCAATATTTTGCCTCAAAAGCCGACCAAATGCCACCATATACTGTATAGTTTCAAATAGTATAACTTAGAGAAATACCATAAGGCATCGTTTCATACTGCCCGAAAATTTTATTTGAACGAATTCCCTGCTTGCTTTCTAAGCTGTATATAGAGGGGGCACAAAAGTAGGTCAGATAAGTAGGTTAAATTTTCGACACAAAATTTGGCTGATCGAATGATTAAATCAAGTTACCCCTTAACTGGCG